TTTACCGTGTGTCATTTTACACTACATGAACGATTTTTCATACACACAACATAGGTATATGAGTTCAACAAAGGTCATTTCTAGTTATCGGTCTTGTTACTGTATTGTATCTCTATTCAGAACCGTGATATATTTAACATGGATGTTAATTGATGAAAGGAATCTATAATCTGTTTGGAATGCTGAATGGTCCAGTTTACCACGAATAAAAGATTTATTTTACAAGAATCCAGGAATAATAGAAATATACACGAGGGGATACGTTAAATAAAGCTTATTTTCGCTCTCAATGTATCCCAGAAGGCAGTTTAGTCTCAGCTTTTCAAACATGCATTAATTTTCGTGTTTTTTTTTATTTTCGTTGAACTGGCATGTACTTTTTATCTACGAATTTATATGTCCTCGAAATGATAAAGCTGACTCGGATTATAATACCATTAGATTTCATGAACAATAATTCTCCACGATATCAAGAACTTACGAAAATGTATATTTTTGGAAAACCACGAATTTTAAAAACCACGAAAATATACAATTTTACTGTAAGTTATCACGAGACTTACGAGATATCAAACATCTCTCATTACTCAACCTGACATCCAACGCTGGTTCACATAAGACTTCACGAATTGTCTCCCCGGAATATCGAGATATTCCAATCACCAACGATGGTGAGTAGAACAGCTGTTTGACGTAATGGTAGTCACTATGTGGCTCTTTTTTATCTAGTAATTTGTACTACAGAATCATGTTTTTGTAAAGTCTTTGTGATTCTAGATGCACGCCATATTTTAATTCATTCGAATATTAGCACGGTTCATATTACACACGTGTCCCTACTTGGAGATATAAATTTATCCACTAATAATTTGGCAAGATACTGACAATTTGTGAAATGTTCGATTAAATAGAATCAATGAAGAATGTAGCTATATATATATATATATCGTAAGAGAGAGAGAGAGAGAGAGAGAGACAGAGAGAGACAGAGACAGAGACAGAGAGACAGAGAGAGAGACAGACAGAGTGAGAGACAGAGACAGAGTGAGACAGAAACAGAGACAGACAGAAAGAGAGAGACAGACAGAGTGAGAGAGAGACAGAGTGATAGAGGGAGAGAGAGTGTGAGAGAGAGACCGAGACAGAGAGAGGGAGAGAGAGAGAGAGAGAGAGACAGACAGACAGACAAAGAGACAGATAGACAGACAGACAGACACAGTGAGAGAGAGAGACAGAGAGAGACAGAGTGATAGACAGAGACAGAGTGAGACAGAGACAGAGACAGACAGACAGAGACAGTGAGAGAGAGACAGAATGATAGACAGAGACAGTGAGAGAGAGACAGAGATAGAGAGGGAGAGAGAGAGACAGAGTGATAGACAGAGACAGAGTGAGAGAGACGGAGAGAGATAGAGGGCATTCGCGTTTATGAAATTCTATAATAATTCTATTTATTTATTCATTTTTATTGCGGTGTTGGTGCATATCCTTATATGGTTTTGGGTATTTATTAGGATCAATATCGATTTTTCTCTGTCGTCTCCCAAGAGTCGCCATTTTCGGCCCTTAGCAACACCAACGCGTTCTACAAAGATGAAACAAATGAATGAAGTTGTCAACTGTATATTAAATTGTACGAGAGACACACAAGTGAAGAGCACCTTTCAATACAAATTTAGAGTTAGATACAGTAAGGCCAAACAATGAATAACATCATACATCTGTTTCGCCCTGTTATCGTCAGAAGTATTTAATATCACTCAGACAGTTAAGAGTTTTTGATGTTTTCAACAAGTTATCTGAAATTTATTAACTACATGTATTTCTTATAGCTTTTTATATAATCATTGACTATTATGTAAATAGTTCACAAAAAAATAAACAATGAAAATATTTAAAAACCATATCAATATTTAGTTTGTAATACATATTTAAAGTTCTGATTACCAGAGAAGTTTACATCCCCGGTAAAATCTGTACAGTTTCCCTTGTGTAATGTTTTGATATTTACTCAGCAACCCAGGTGTTTTGTGTATTACAAATAAACGAGATTTTGATTGGGTGAAAAAAAACACATTCTAAATGTAACTGTTGTTTGATAACCAAACAAACTAAGGGACATAACTCTGTTACACATATGCTTATGGTCAGCGCTGTGCCAACATCTGTTAATCTGATGGTATTAATGGGATTATTTAACGTCTGATCTTTTTGATTGATTGACCGATCGATCGATCGATTGATTAATTGATCGATTTATTGATTGATTGATTGATTGATTGATTCATTCATTCATTCATTCATTCATTCATTCATTCATTCATTCATTTATTCATTCATTCATTCGTTTACAATGTTTTTTCTCTAAATATCCTTTTCTCAGCTTCCTTGTACGTTTTTAAGGATGTCCGTGTATTTAATTTCATTGAGACTGAATTAAAAAAAAAAACAATTTGACGTGTTCACAATTGTGTTAGAGTTTTTATCTTTATAAAGATTCTAAGAAGCACAGAGCATAATTATTTTCAACTTGATAGTATTATCATATTCTTTGGTGATGCACATCATAATAGTAGACTAAATGTCTGGAGCAGCTGTGTTAAGATATTTACAAATACTATAATCTGTTAGCATCATAATGGTATGTGTCTAAATTGTAAGTGTGAACACAATACTATTCACTCCCCCCCCTCTCTCTCTCTCTCTCCCTTCTCTCTCTCTCTCTCTCTCTCTCTCTCTCTCTCTCTCTCTCTCTCTCTCTCTCTCTCTCTCTCTCTCTCTCTCTCTCTCTCTCTCTCTCTCTCTCTCTCTCTCTCTCTCTCTCTCTCTCTCTCTCTCTCTCTCTCTCTCTCTCTCTCTCTCTCTCTCTCTCTCTCTCTCTCTCTCTCTCTCTCTCTCTCTCTCTCTCTCTCTCTCTCTCTCTCTCTCTCTCTCTCTCTCTCTCTCTCTCTCTCTCTCTCTCTCTCTCTCTCTCTCTCTCTCTCTCTCTCTCTCTCTCTCTCTCTCTCTCTCTCTCTCTCTCTCTCTCTCTCTCTCTCTCTCTCTCTCTCTCTCTCTCTCTCTCTCTCTCTCTCTCTCTCTCTCTCTCTCTCTCTCTCTCTCTCTCTCTCTCTCTCTCTCTCTCTCTCTCTCTCTCTCTCTCTCTCTCTCTCTCTCTCTCTCTCTCTCTCTCTCTCTCTCTCTCTCTCTCTCTCTCTCTCTCTCTCTCTCTCTCTCTCTCTCTCTCTCTCTCTCTCTCTCTCTCTCTCTCTCTCTCTCTCTCTCTCTCTCTCTCTCTCTCTCTCTCTCTCTCTCTCTCTCTCTCTCTCTCTCTCTCTCTCTCTCTCTCTCTCTCTCTCTCTCTCTCTCTCTCTCTCTCTCTCTCTCTCTCTCTCTCTCTCTCTCTCTCTCTCTCTCTCTCTCTCTCTCTCTCTCTCTCTCTCTCTCTCTCTCTCTCTCTCTCTCTCTCTCTCTCTCTCTCTCTCTCTCTCTCTCTCTCTCTCTCTCTCTCTCTCTCTCTCTCTCTCTCTCTCTCTCTCTCTCTCTCTCTCTCTCTCTCTCTCTCTCTCTCTCTCTCTCTCTCTCTCTCTCTCTCTCTCTCTCTCTCTCTCTCTCTCTCTCTCTCTCTCTCTCTCTCTCTCTCTCTCTCTCTCTCTCTCTCTCTCTCTCTCTCTCTCTCTCTCTCTCTCTCTCTCTCTCTCTCTCTCTCTCTCTCTCTCTCTCTCTCTCTCTCTCTCTCTCTCTCTCTCTCTCTCTCTCTCTCCCTTTGTGTCTGCCCTTCACTCCCCCCCCACCCCACCCCCCCCCTCTCTCTCTCTCTCTCTCTCTCTCTCTCTCTCTCTCTCTCTCTCTCTCTCTCTCTCTCTCTCTCTCTCTCTCTCTCTAGACAATAACGAAGTTAAGCCATCTGATGTATATGTATGTAATGATATTAATACTGAAGTGCGTTGTTAACGTTTTTGTAATTTGTACCAAATCTTTTTGGCATTAATATATCTTTTAAGCATATTGTACTACTAATCTGTGAACGCCTTAGAATGTATCCGGTTTGATGTTGTATCTGAATAAACAACTTGAAATACTTCATTATTTGAATCAAGAAACAATAATAGATAAGACGACTTGGTGAAAATCGCCTTTTTAAAGTTAAAGAAATCGATCATGCTTGATTTTTTTTCTTATTATTTATAACAAAAATCGGAAGTTGAATTCTTTATTGTTAACAATTTTCTACGATATTTACAACAATATTCAAAATTACATCGTTCAGATTAAACAAAAACAATTAATCATAATAAAAAAAAATGGAATACAACACATCTTTTGCCGTAATATAAGAGAATGGGCAAAATCGTTCAATACAATACTGTTCAGTCTTTAAAATGCGATATAAAATGACATTCTGATCCATAACAAGTTGAGCATCTTTTACGATATCCCGTTTATCCGAACACTTCTTAAGGTTATCCGAATTCTTCCTAAAGTTATCCGAATTCTTCCCAAGTTTATCCAAATTTTTCTTTGTTTATCTGAAGTTTTCTAAATATGAGTTTACTGTTTTCCTTATTGAAGTCTAAAATTGGCCCTCATTTTTTCACAGAATTAATTCTATAAAATGATCAAATGTATTTTTATAAATATATTTCAGCTTGAATATGGTATTTAATTAATTTTACCTTATAGATATGTTATCAAATAACTTTAATCAGCAAATTTCAAATAGGAAAAGATCAGCAAATCGTTTACAGTATCAACATCGAAAGTACCCACGACTATTTTTGTTAATATTCACCGTACTAGATATGGATGTTAACACCATTATTCTGTATATCTGTGGACAGAGATTTAAAACTCCGGATTAACGATATCTCAGTAATGCGGATCCATAGAATTCTCAATCCATTAAAGTAGAGTTAGTCACTTCTCTAGCTAATCTTTGCATCCTGAGAATTTCAAACGTCATAGCTAGTAGCACACATCCGATAAAAACTACCAACACAAGGTTCAAACACCTTTTAAGCATGGCTGTATCATCAGCTGCGTCTCCGCCCATTCCACTTCCGCCGAAACCGGAACCGGAAACAGCCACAGATCCAGTTACCATAATTATTGATTATTCGAGTCTACGACGCCATCGTGAGATGGACTTGCTGTCAAAAGAGACATGTTTAACTTCATGAACCACAACAGCAGTGATGTCAAAATATTACAAATCACTAAGTCCCAAAACGAGGGTATATGAAACAAAGTTTTACAATGACGTCATAATCCCGAAATGTTAATGACGTCATACATGTGATGTATTAAACAATCCATTTGATATACTTTCATGATTCACAATGACGTCATAGTTTACGAAGCATGTTACTAATGACGTCAATGATATTCTCCGTCGAAAGGAAATTATTTCACAGGTACGAAGGGTTCAACATTACATTCCGTTTTCGTTCACAACAGTCAATTAATTTGTATCGGTATCATTCATCCAAATTCCCAATCATGAACAAGTATCACCGTCATTACTTTATAAATCTGAGGAAGATACACTCAACCAATCAGTTTAATGTTCTGATTTCCTTCAAGCGATCTTTAACACCATATTTGGAAAATTACGTCACACCTTCGTCTTATTACGTCATCAAAACAATCTTCCCATCTTAAAAGATTTTGGTGAATATATTTCAATAAACATCGAACAAGTTTGTAAACAAATAAATATGTTATTTTCAAATCTGGAAAATATTCCCCGAAGACACCTCTTCAGTCAAACAGCTATCAAGTGTTTTGTAACAAGAAATTAAGTATGATGTTTTCCTCGTGGAATATGTGATACTACCTGTTACGTAGGAGGTCCTATTTGTTTCAAACACTTTCACGGCATGAACTATTACACTCCCTTCGTGAAACATATTCCACTTGACATTTCAATCTCGTCGTACTCTCGTCGTACCCTCGTTGATTTATGAAGTATTCATGCATGTCACTTGATATAGTAGATAAAAAAACAGAGTATGAAATATCACATTGTGTGATAAATCCCGCGAGATCTTGTCATGTAGCGTGATTAAGAAACTGGTGAATGTTTACTTACTGTAGCGAGTCCCTCCTCTGTGGTGAATGGTCTGGCATTTATGTATATCATCACTACATCGCTTACACTGTATTCCTTGTATAATCCAACATATCGTTCACCATTCAGTTTACGGTCTAGCCAAACACACGTGCGAATGGCGAACATGAAAGACGAGTTTTAATCCCCCTTTTATTTGTAGATTCATATTTCTAACACCATTAGCGAGTATAAACTGAACCTGGGGCGATCCGTATCTCCAGACTCAAAGAATTACTGTTATGAAATTTAAACGTGGCAGACAGCTTTCTTTAAATATTAGCGGACATAGTTGTTCAAATTCTTTCAGACTTCACATATTTCTGTACAGCATCGGTTTTATAAATACTTCTTTTGAACACGATCTTAATCTGTGTGATGAATGGTCCAAATTGATGTCTGTGAATTGTGTATCAGCGCCTAACAACCTGCCACGGAGCCACCAAGCTAATAGTCAGTTTTATACACTAACAAACCAAAAGACTTCTCATATCAAGTTCAAATATCACAATGACAATCGATATCGATTGACCGAGTCAATATTTTTATTTGTCCAACAAGGATTTCATCCAAGCTTGTCCACTGTATAAGTGATACTTGCCACACGTATATTAGTTCGCTTTAGTACCCCCGACTGTTCTATGGTCAAAGAGAACTGATATTGATCCCAGAAAAAGTTGGATTCACCAAGCACTGTTGCTGAGTTGTGTGTGAATAGATATGTGTTTGTCAAACACTTACATCGATACAAAATCTAAATATAGAGACAATCAAGTCTTCAGAAGATCCATTTACCGTTGTTAAATGTAAAGTTTAAACAACTTTAGAAGTAAATATTTCACTAACTATTAAACTCTCGTTACTGTAATGGATGTGTGGTTAGCCTATATCTAGTTTGACAAATCGAAATCTTGATAACTTTTAAATCGTTCGATAAGATTGTAATTAATTATGCATGAACGAGTCAGGAAAGCCCGCACTAGTTAACTTGTCAATGAACTTTGACCTTGTGGCAAATCCAGTGTGACTACTTTCGATTGTTTCTTGTCGTCAGCAAAACATCGAAAATTTTTGCGTCTGTCCATCAACTCAATATGATAAAATTGTTCTTCAAAGGCTCAAATCGACTGCCTTCTTCAAGGGTTTTTGGTTCGTTGATGAATTTTGAAGTTTGAAGAAACTCAATGTATCCGAAAAGCATTCCAACAGTGCAAATTGGTTCATTCATTAAAGACTTTTGGAAATGGAAATATATTTGAAGTTAACTCCAGTAGTAAATATTGGTTACCTTGTTCAGGACGTTGTGAATCTGTAAATATACTTTTGAAGTTAGAACAACCTCGAAGTATTCTAATAGTAGGAAAACAGTTCTCTCATTCAAGGTGTCAGAGTAGTCCGTAAACTTTTGGAGCTAAAGAGTACAATACTCGTTCAGTATCAATATCACAGGTAAACATAATTATTCTCTGTAAACATAGCTGAAAATCATAACGTATTATCAGTTGTATTTGTAGAGCTCTCTCATCATTCTCGTCAACTGACACACAGTCTCTGTACACCTATCGACGTCTAAAAAAAACCGGCACTTCTAAGATATTTTTGTAAGCTCGACATTGGATCAGCATACACGGAAATATATACCTTGTTCACAATGAACTTAGTCTATATATGGCTGTATTTCCGGGATAATATTTCATATAAGCTGTTCGCTGTATCGGCACTACAGCAAAAGTACAGCCCTTTTACGCTAGGCACAGAGACGATATATATCTATGCTATTGAATATCACATTTAGACAAATGTCACTGCTATTTCAAACTTTCTTCATCTATAATTCAGTGTTGTATTCGGCTTTTTCTGTCTACCGAAAAATTTATATCACTACGTTTAACATCAATAAACTGATATCATTGAAATAACTTCGACAAGGGACACCACAAAATTATATATATCATGTATCATTAACCTTCCCTCATCGAAATATCACAACCTCTTTCTAACTTGACCTAATTCATTTCAGCGACACATCACAAATCTTCAGAGTATTTTTCCTACGATAGGAAAGCCTTTCTCTGATTAGCTGAATTGTCCATATCAAGAAATCCTTTCCGTGAAAAGGTAAATTTCCCAGGCAGGAGCTACGTTCTCCGGAAAAAAGTAAATCTTTCAGGGTAGGAAATCCTTTACTCTGCGCAGGTATCTTTTAGGGAAAGAAGCCGTCCCTCTTAATATGTATATTTTCCAGACCAGGAACTTCTTTCACTGAGCAAGTATAAAATCTATGATGGAATTTATTTTTCTTTTGAGAAAAATTTTCCCATGTAATTCATATCATTTATCGAGGTAAAACTCGTATGGTAAACGATAGTTTCTTTGTCAAGAGGGAAATTTGCCAAAATAGTAATTACTTTTGTCTGAGTTGAATTTCAGAATCACATTATACTTGAATCCCAACCAACGGAACAAAGGCCAATTGTCGATGTTGATGGTGTAATCATGCGTTCAATTGGTTTACAAGTTGAATCGTCCAATTTCACACAATCTGGGTTTTTTTCATTCACATTCCAGTCTTGATAATGTACATTCAACTTCCGGAAAAAATCTATAAACAGACATTGTTCCATAACCTAAAGTTCATCGAACCATGAACGACATTCGTTATATGACATCATTACATCCTAACGTTATATCCATAATCATTATACAATAGACGTGCTTATAAACACGAGGTCATCGTTTCCGAAGTATGGAATCAAGACCCCGTATCTTCTGTAATCCTGTCGCATGCATCAGTAGTTCCATAGTCCTCATTCGTAAATCATTCAAGTGTGACAGTATAATTTCACATTTTCCCTCTTATTTGATCAAGTAGATTGTATCCATTTTCAAATAAATGCTTCGACACAGTTTTGTAAGAATTGTCCTTGTCACGGTTAATTAAAGGGTACGGACATTTCCGCGTCTTTTTTCAGCAGTTCCTGTCTAAATTCTCGCGAGATCACTGTAACTAACATAATATTACCCCTTTTCTACAATTCCAGTCTCATATCTCGCGAGATCACAATGTTACTTTCAAAATATCTCCCTTTTTTCCCACAGTTCCAGTCTCAATTCTCGCGAGGTGACTAATACCTACATACGATCGGCTGTGGTTCCAGTCTCAATTCTCGCGAGATCACAGACAATTGCTTCCATAACAAGTTAATTATCCGTGAGTAGGTAAGTATGTCAATGATTACACTCTCCTGTTGTTTACTCTCTAACCCATCACCTGCTGCAAAACCCTACGGGATTCTAGTTGGACCATTGATCTACACCGTCCGTCTCACTACATGTCCTCGCGAGATACTCAGGTCTGTATTGAATTAACATACCACTCCGGTGTCCGATTTTTCCATAGATGATAGAAACCATTCCCAACAGCTATTAATATCTATCTCACGGTGACACGTGTCCAATGACTCCGGCAATGATGGAGATTTATGTATCCACATCGATACGTGCTGAAGAAACATGCAGCCATGTTGTTCCATGCTCGATCCTAGCAGTTCGGTTCTTTTTAGCGCGACAAATTGAAGAGAAATAATCACTACTTATTTTGCTTGGCATGTTCTTAATGTTCAATATGCAGAACAATACATTGACGTATGAACTATTTGCGTGTGAAGGAATGTTGTATGTCAGTTCCATTGCGTTCCACTATAAAACATTCCTAAATCTCATTACACCTATAGACGCGCATTTTTCTTACTGTGACTGTACACGATATCAGCGTCTTCGTAGATGATGTATTTTTGATTTCGAAGTTTTTTCTTGCTTTTTTTTCGCTGGGAGGAATCAAATCACCAAAAAAGATTACTTTAAGATAAAATTAAAAGAACTTTATATAGTGTGTTGATTCAGGGCAAGATTAATACTGTCTTTTCGTAATACAGAGTTATCTGCTCTTGAATTCGGGTATTTACTGTTACGTCATTAACTTGAGTGAAACAATTACATTATATTATCATATATTCACGTAATAATGAATACCTCATCACAAGAGCAGATAACTCTGTATTATGAATAAGACTGAAGGAATACACGCAAGGTGCTTCATGAACCCGCGAAAATCTGAACCATCTGCAAAATAGAGACTTACAGTATTTCTTTATCTAAAAAATACGCTGGGCAATAACTTATATTCTAAAATTTAATTTAGAAATGTATTATAAAATTTATCTTGGAACTGAGTTAATTTTTCAAGAAGTTTTAAAAGTATTTTGTAATTTATTTTAGTTTTGTTTTTTAAATTAAATATAAGTTTTGATCAACTGCTGTTGTTGTTGCGGGTAACATGAGGACTGGAATTAAGTTGACAAGTCAATAAGCTTGCTTTGTTCCTAAATTCAATTTTTCGTCTGTAATAATCAGATATACAAAATGTCATTGAATGGTGCGATGGAAAATATACCGACACTGCGCATGTCCGTCTGTTAGTGAAGCTAAACATGGATGTAGCAAGTCACATAAAACTGAGGCGATAAACCATCATCATCATCATCATCATCATCATCATCATCATCATCATCATCATCATCATCATCATCATCATCATCATCATCATCAACAACAACAACAACAACAACAACATTATCATCATCATCATCATCATCATCATCATCATCGTTGATGTAGTTTATCAATTATCAGACCGCGACACTCAAGAAAACACCTGCGTGACATTAACCTAGAAAGAGTGTACAACCCATAATACGATATTCTACACGCTGACATGTTACTGTGTCTATTATTAAATACTGTTAAATAATATATTTTCGTTGGGCTTTAATTCTTACTATTTCTTAGACGCATATTTTATTTTCATGTAGTGTCTAATTTTTACAATTTCGTGGACTTTTTTTCGTGGAAAATATAGTTCAATAGATAACCTCAAGATATAACTGACTGTGGATGTATGAACTCGTGGAGTTCTCTCTTAATCAACGAAAATAAATTTCACCGCGAGAATTAATAATTTTACAGTACTGTAATATTTGGCATATAACAGAATCCATTATGAAAAAGAACTTGGAAGAAGAAACGTGATCCTATTTCAGTCGGATGTAACGATCTATAATGATACATATTAATGAGGTCATTGTGTTTTGGTATTTACAGGTTATGCAGATATCCGCGAATGGGTGTGAAGGAGAGAAATGAGACAAAAAAAAACAATATTTCGTATTAAACATAACAACATAGCGTGCATACCGAAGTGAAGAGGAAAGAAAAAAAAGAATATGTTGTAAAGACAGAATGAAAAAGGGAACAAGAACGAACCAGAGATGTACAATGATTCAAGGCCGGTATGTTTTATCACCAAAGACTTCACTACATAATTCTACAAGAATGAGCTCATACAATATGTTGTCAGTGTTCCATCCACGGTAGACAAGCCTTTATACTTACAACAACAATAACACGCTGTTTGATATCATTGAAGTATGATTTCTGCTGCTCTGTTTCTTACTACAGAATCACACAAATGTTGTAAGCCTTATACTAAAGCTTTTATACGACATTTCCTGTACAAAAGCTCTCACACAAATGTTGTAAGCCTTATACTAAAGCTTTTATACGACATTTCCTGTACAAAAGCTCTCACACAAATGTTGTAAGCCTTATACTAAAGCTTTTATACGAAAAAAATCTCATTTAAAGTCTTCTTCCAAAGAGCTTTCATAGAAAAAACTTTTTTTTTAAATCTCTCATACAAAGCTCTCATTTTGAAAGCTCTCCTCCAAAAAGCTCTTATAGAAGAAAACACTGTAATAAAAAGCAATTTGAAAAAGTCCCGTTGAAAAGTGCCTTCACAAAAATCTCTCACTTAAGGGTTCTCATATAACGCCCGTATATCAAATTTCTCCTAGAAACGTATTTATTCAAAACATTCTCATACAGAAGCTCTGTCACCCAAAACTCAAACAAAACGCTCTCATACAGAAGCTCTGTCACCCAAACCTCAAACAAAACGCTCTCATACAGAAGCTCTGTCACCCAAAACTCAAACAAAACGCTCTCATACAGAAGCTCTGTCATCCGAAACTCAAACAAAACGCTCTAATACAGAAGCTCTGTCACCCAAAACTCAAACAAAACGCTCTCATACAGAAGCTCTGTCACCCAAAACTCAAACAAAACGCTCTCATACAGAAGCTCTGTCACCAAAACCTCAAACAAAACGCTCTCATAAAGAAGCTCTGTCACCCAAAACTCAAACAAAACGCTCTCATACAGAAGCTCTGTCACCCAAAACTCAAACAAAACGCTCTCATACAGAAGCTCTGTCACCCAAAACTCAAACAAAACGCTCTCATACAGAAGCTCTGTTACCCAAACCTCAAACAAAACGCTCACATACGGAGGCTCTGTCACCCAAAACTCAAACAAAACGTTCTCATACAGAAGCTCTGTTACCCAAAACTCAAACAAAACGCTCTCATACAGAAGCTCTGTCATCCGAAACTCAAACAAAACGCTCTCATACATAAGCTCTGTCACCCAAAACTCAAACAAAACGTTTCATACGAAAACACAACGATACAAAAATTCGCTCACACTACATTTTGATCTGTCCCTGGTAGTCAATAAAATCTCATAATATTTTTAGCGATTTTTATGAAAGGTTCCAACCCTTTGATTTTTCCCTGTGTAATTCTTTCTATATACAAACTACCACTAGCTTCTATTATATCAGCATTGACGGTATACATGCCATTCGTCCTGATTATCGATATCTTTGTCCACGGTCTACGGACTCACAACAAAAGCCAGAACAGGGCCTCCTAACATTATCATAACACCGTCGTGAACAGTAATTCGTGTCAAAGCTTTGTTAGCTTCCGAACAAGTTAAACGACGACCGAAAAATTTTTTTTTTATATCTGTGGAGAAGTATTTGAGAGTACCGTTGTAAGAAATACTTGGAATGATAACTTATTAGATACAAATTTTAAGTGCAGGTTTTAATTATTTTGTAGAAAGGATAACAATTTGAGTAGATTATGAATGACAAAATGGCGGATGTTTACCAGAAGTTTACCAGACCGGCTATATGGAGATCCGGAGACTTGTTCTATACTGCCGAACTTAGAGACCCGGAGACTTTTACTATACTGCCGAACTTTGAGCCCCGGAGACTTGTACTATACTGCCGAACTTTGAGCCCCGAGACTTTGAGCCCCGGAGACTTGTACTATACTGCCGAACTTTGAGCCCCGGAGATTTGTACTATACTGCCGAACTTTAAGCCCCGGAGACTTGTACTGTACTGCCGAACTTAGAGACCCGGAGAATTGTACTATACTACCGAACTTAAAGCTCCAGAGATTTGTACCATACTGCCGAACTTTGGGCCCCGGAGACTTGTACTATACTGCCGAACTTTGAGCCCCGGAGACTTGTACTATACTGCCGAACTTAGAGACCCGGAGAATTGTACTATACTACCGAACTGTTTGATGTTTACTGGTCAACTTAGCTGTTCTGTCAGTTAGACGTTTTTGTTTCAAACTTGAAACGATTGTACAAAACACACAAGTCGCAGGTATCTTCGAATACAAAGGGTTGTTATATACAATCGATTGCACAAAAACACAAAGGGTTTTACAAGCGATCACTAACTTTTAAGTCTTTAGATACAATTTTAACTGTGTCATAATTAGGTTTCGTCCTTCTAGGTCAATGTAGAACATTAGTTTGTGACTTGGCTGAAATAGCGGGTATGGCGGTACAGTCAAATAGCGACTTCCGGTCTCGTATGATAAACGATGAAGTCACGATATCTATACAAAATACAAAGTGAAAACATATACGATACTTCCATATGAATATATGTTTAACTATAGTCACCGGAAGTAGTACAGTAGGATTTTCTATTCGAAATCCTGACGACTCGTCTCTGCTGATACAGGTATGTCCTGTTTATGTGAGTTGGTGTCACAACAGTAATTGTATGTATCGTTACAAAGGTTGTTGTATTCTGGCTTTTGTAGTATATTTTAGCATCCATACAACATTTTTTAAAGCATTTCGGAAGAATACTAACTGAAACATCTTTTTATGCGTTGCTATGGTTGTTGTCATAGACACGTGCATGAGTAACACAAAAGAGTTCCGTTCATATCGAGTAACATTGACATCGATATCGATTTTTTCAGAAGTGCACCATTTTATTCTTTATAGAAACAAAAGCAAATGTTTCATCCGAACAGAGAATAAAACAAAGAAACGGAACTCCAGTGCCCACCTGAATAATTTCAACAATAAATGAACGTTTTTTTTATACTGCTGCGTATGAGATCTGTGCCGGGTCGGAATGACTGGAAAGACATGAAATGAAAGGAAGTGTATTTTGAACAGTTAACTAATGAAATGTAAAAATAATGGTGATGCTTGATCAACTGTCTTTAAATATGTGCTGTCAAATCATATATTTTCATGGGGGTTCATTTTCGTGGTTATTTAAATAAAAATCGCTATTTCTTCAACACTAAATAAGTTAAGCTTGATAAATATACTTAGATTATTTTAAATAGTTCGTAGACATATGAGTTTGCGGATGTAACCCCGAAATCAACGGAAATAAATTCCCACAAAAAGTAATGACTTTTCAGTATCCTTTATTTTCTATAAATCATATTGTTATTTTATTTTAAAATAATCATGGATTTTAAAGATTGTATCATAATCGTCCATACCTGAGTAGATTCTACAGCCTGAAAATAAAAAGGCATTGACTTTAAAGACTTTGGCCGTCTCTGTAATTTTTTATGAAACCTAATATTTATTCAACTACCTATCTTTTCCCGAAACTGAAAATTCAATTTCCATTTCACTACTAGAAAAATGTATATCAAATCAGGCTTTTAAGAGCTATACCTCTTTCTCGAAATTGAAAATTCCATTTCTATTTCAGTACTGGACAAATTTACAGCAAATAAGGCTTTTAAGAGTCATACCTCTTTCTAGAAATTAAAAATTCGTTTTTTCATTGAAGTGGATAAATTTATATCAAATCACACTCTCAACTGGTATTTTAAAGCTAAATCAGACCATCTTTGTATTATAGAACGTGTTTGTGTAAAAGTACACTCCTACAAAAAGATTGTAGACACGTAACCCGTAATTTAAATATTCATGAGGAAGAACTATACGGTATGTACAGGATGATTACACTTGACACCTGGTGTACATAGAGTCCTGTAGTAAGAGGTGAATGTCTGGGAGAAGATGTACTCCATCTAATGAATTTGAACCGTACCAGTCCTTTATCTGATCGATCAACGATAAGAAACCCTTGTGATCTTAAATATTTATAAGTATTGTTTAGTTATTTGTTTTATCGATGTAAGGATCCTCCATCGATCGGTATTTCACTTCCTGGTCCCTTTACCAATTCTCATATCAGTATCCCCCTCCTCCTTCACAAATCCCACGTAAATAGCAAGACCATTAGCGACCTCTTTAAATATACAGACCACTAGCTCCCTTTGTATATACTGAGACTAGTAACGCCCTCTGTGAACACTCAGACTAGTAACGCCCTCTATGAATACTCAGGCTAGTAACGCTCTCTGTAAACACTCAGACTAGTAACGCCCTCTGTAAACACTCATACTAGTAACGCCCTCTATAACACTCAGACTACTAACGCTCTCTGTAAACACCCAGACTAGTAACGCCCTCTATAAATACTTAGACTAGTAACGCCCTCTATAAACACTCAGACTACTAACGCTCTCTATAAATACTCAGACTAGTAACGCCCTCTATAAACAAACTCAGACTACTAACGCTCTCTATAAATACTCAGACTAGTAACGCCCGCTATAAACACTCAGACTAGTAATGGCCTCTGTAAATACTCAGACTAGTAACGCCCGCTATAAACACTCAGACTAGTAATGGCCTCTGTAAATACTCAGACTAGTAACGCCCTCTATAAACAAACTCAGACTACTAACGCTCTCTATAAATACTCAGACTAGTAACGCCCTCTGTAATCACTCAGACTAGTAATGCCCTCTATAAACACTCAGACTAGTAATGGCCTCTGTAAATACCCAGACTAGTAACGCCCTCTATAAACACTCAGACTAGTAATGGCCTCTGTAAATACTCAGACTAGTAACGCCCTCTATAAATATTCAGACTAGTAATGGCCTCTATAAACACTCAGACTAGTAACGCCCTCTGTAAATACCCAGACTAGTAACGCCCTCTATAAATACTCAGACTAGTAATGGCCTCTGTAAATACCCAGACTAGTAACGCCCTCTATAAATACTCAGACTAGTAACGCCCTCTATAAATACTCAGACTAGTAACGCCCTCTATAAATACCCAGACTAGTAACGCTCTCTGTAAATACCCAGACTAGTAACGCCCTCTATAAATACCCAGACTAGTAACGCCCTCTATAAATACTCAGACTAGTAATGGCCTCTATAAATACCCAGACTAGTAACGCCCGCTATAAATACCCAGACTAGTAACGCCCGCTATAAACACTCAGACTAGTAACGCCCTTTATAAACACTCGGACTTCATTTTAAACATTATTTAAACTTGCGTTCTAATCTTGTGGCCTGACACTATGGGCGCTTCGCAGAGAATGTATTATGTTATTAGCGCCATCTACTGACAATGATACTAGTTACCGTTATCTTTATCAACCACATAGCTGGAACTATTTATTCCGCCTCTGACAATCAGCACCCTCTATACACATACTTATTCACATATTGTTAGCGCCCGACATACACTCTCGATCCCGAACATGTTGACGTGTGTCCGATAGTATTCATGTAAATATGATGATTTAGTTAATATCACACAGTCCGTTGTCTCTGGTGGTCAATGCTGACCGGCCTGGCTACAGCCACTTATGATTAATGGATGGACAGGACCAGAGAATGACCGTTGTCCAGATTTTCTAAATGTGATCCACATTTCTTACTTAGTATGAACTGTAGACTGGACTCCAGAAATAACAAACAGCAATGATTGGTCGTTAAGTCAACGTTAAGTCATGTGACGCTGTAGATCGTTACAATACCTTGCAACAGTAAGAGTTGTAAATATTTCTTAGAGTGAAATCAAAAGAAAAGAAAAATGAATTTAAGAAAGGCTTAAAATATGTACGTTTAAGATGAATTATGACAAATCCATCAGGACCGAGTGTATGAGACATTATAACCCATTTTAATTCGTGAAAAAAAAATCGAAATTATCAGGTAAGACAGTAAAATGTATATACTTCACACATTCGGGGCGAGGTTTTCCGAATTGCATTTCATTTCAGAAGTTCCAGGAGGTTTTATTTGTCCGCTATTATTATTTGTTGCTATCCGCCATGGCGCGAAGCCAGACAAGATTTTCCACTTCCGTGTCACAACTTAATGACTGATATATGTGAAAATTTTCCTTTTTTAAGGTGCTATAAGAGATTGTTGTACTGATGCAAGAACAAATATTGGAATTAAATTTA